CTTTCCCCTTTGGTTTGTTAGCCGCCCTGAGTCCCTTCGGGAATAGGGCGGTATACAAGTGCAATAAACCTTATAACCTTATAATGAAAAGCTGCTAGATTAGTAAAATATTGGAAACATCTGGAGTAGACATCTAAGAAAAATTCCTTTGATATAGGGCCATCTATTGTCCTATTTGAAAAAATAAATGTGTAAAATGAAACCAAGTGAAAAAATAAGGAAGAAAAATGCTTTTACTCTATGGAATGACTTTATAAGATATTTTAATAAAATAAGGAAAAGAGCAATCAGCTATTTATAGCTCATCATGATAAATTATGGAATATAAAATACATGCAGATGTATAGCCCTTTGGTCTGATATTCATGCATTGATTTTAACTTGTGAAATATTATTGTTTTCATATTGGAAGATTTTTTTTCCTAGTGTCAAGAAATGTGAACAGGTCACCTCTGCAGACCCTTCCTTGCCATCTCACCAACAGCTGTGTTTACTACCTGGATGGGGGCCGAGTGGAAGGTCCAGAGAGTCTTCCCTTGGCTTGGAGGGTCTAAGTTGCTTTTCCTTCCATTCCTCTGCAGATGGTCGGCCTTGTCATCTTCTGCGTGGGCATTTATGCTGAAGTGGAAAGGCAAAAGCACCGGACCCTGGAAGGGCTCTTCCTCGCCCCAGCTGTCATCCTCATCCTCCTGGGCCTCACGATCTTTGCCGTTTCTTTTATTGGCATGGTGGGATCTCTTCGAGACAACCGGACGCTGCTGAAAACCGTAAGACATTTTTCCACAATCCGGGGCCCCTTTCTTACTCTCGGCTCCTCCTTTACCTTAACGTGTCTGCCATAGTGGATGGTCTCTGGTGATAGTGCTGTAATAGCCATGGCTTTGTCCCTCTTTCCTAGAAATCTTGCAATTGGAAAAGGATGACAGCTTCTTTTCAGCAATAGCAGTTAGCAGTTAGATTTATATACTGCTTCATAGAGCTTTCAGCCCTCTCTAAGCAGTTTACAGAGTCAGCATATTGCCCCCAACAATCTGGGTCCTCATTTTACCCACCTCGGAAGGAT